ACATTCGAGGTGTGGTAACAAGGCGACCCCACACTGTGGTCTCCAGGCCCCAGTCTCCTCTGGAACCTCTCCCTGTACTACATGGTCTCAGAGATACTCCAGAGACCAATAAATACCTGTGTATGTCACACCTGGGTGTGCCTAAGACCTTCTTTCTGTGACTCCATGTCCTTTTCCCCTCTCCTTAGTCCCTCAGTTCCCTGGGGTACATATCCTGGACCTGCAGTGTGGGTGGGGATACAGCATTCTCCGATCCAGCCAGGAGGTAGACCCAGAGACTGTGCACTCCTCCCTGGGTACTGCTCTCACCTAAAGCATGGGGCAGAGGGACAAGGATGGTGAAGACTGTTTGGATGTGGTTTGTAATATTCAGTGCTTGAAGGTTCTGAGAGAGGGATTTATACGTTCTAAATTTTTAGACTTTGCAGAATTCTCATGACCCTTTCTGTTTTAAAAGGCTGGGTTATAACCATTTACATGTATTCTGCTGCATAGGCTTCTCACATGTGGGGAAATGGAAGAAAATAAAGCCTTCTCATTTATTTACTTAACACTATCCTTGTCACCTCACTGTGTGACAGCTGAAATTACTACAGAAAATAAGGCTCAGCTTTTTCATTGGTAGATTTAGAGAAAAATAATACTGATCAGGAATAAAGTGTTGTTGTTTTAATTGCCAGAGGGCAAGTGTGCTACCCGGAGGGGACAGGGTAGGGGTGGGGCAGTTATGGGGTGTGGCCATGTCATAATTTCTTCTTCTACATTTCTCTTTCCCATCAGGATTCTAGGCATGCCTGTACATGTGCCCACATGTTTTTCAAGCCACCAGGATTTGAACCTCAGTTGGACAAATCCAGCCTCTGATGCACAGTACTTAATCACTGCACTACGGGGCCGGCTCCTAAAATAGTATTTTAAATGGGCAAGGGCCATGTCTGTATAAATGATCTCAGGGTGAACAATGGAAAGTGCATGGATTTTGGAAATAGGCCTAAATTTTATCTGCGGTTCTGCCATGTGACAGCTCTGTGACCTTTCCAAGTTTCAGTTTCCACTTTTAAAAAGAAAAGAAAACTGTGTCCGGTGTTCTGGGTTAAGAGGGTTCAGTGAAGCACTTAGTAGATAATGTGAGGCACGGGTGATTGTCTTTGTGACTTATTTTCTTTTTTCTTTTGAGAGAGATTTTTTGCTACAGGGCACGTGAACTTGCCGGAGAGACAGAAAAACAGAAAGTGAGAGATCGCCTTCCAGGGGGAATGGCCACACTGCCATCTCTTCTCCTCCATTCTCCTCTTGGGATTTTAGGCACACACACATGTGCCCGGTGTGAGTTTCAAGCCTCTGGGTCCAGGACCTGAACTGCGGTCTGCCATGTGGGAATCCAGGAATGTAACCGCTACTCCATCTGCTGGTCCCTGTGGCTTCTTTTCTTGACCCCTTCACTTAATCAGTCCGTCCTTTCTGCAGATTCCATCTATGTTTATTTCTGTGTCAGAGATGCCCAGTCTGCACCTTTTGTCCTGATCTTTCTTAGAAATGAGGAAGTTGGTCCCCAGATGCAGGACATGATTGGGAGGGGACCTCTGAGACAGGAGCCCAGAAGCTTGTGAGAAATGACCCAAGGCAGGTGCTCAGGGGCACAGGAGGCCGAGAAGTTGCTTGTAAGAGGCCAAGGAAAGAGAGTCACCATCCTGGTGCACAGAGAGCCGCTGGGTACTCACTGTGTGCACCAGGAGGCAATAATCTACACTGAAAGGAAAGCTGGCACCAAACGTGTGCTCTGCTGGGTGCACCAGGAGGCAATACTCTACACGGAAAGGAAAGCTGGCACCAAACGTGTGCTCTGACCTGACTTAAAGATAATTTAATACGGGGCCGGCTGGTGACACAGCGTAATGCATGCTCCGAGGCAGGATGCTCATGGGAAGGCCTTGGGTTTGCAAACTGAGGCCTCCCTGTACGTGCAATCAGCTTGTTCCCTTGTCCTTCAATTCTCTGCTGTGATGGGGAAGTTCAGACTGGATCTTCCACACCCTACCACCATGATCTGGGCTGGCTGAGGCTGGGGTGGATGGCAGTGGGGGAGTCTATCGGGAATGCCTATCTGTGTGTCTCTTACTCACTCATGGGATAAATAAATTTAGAAAAAAAGGGGGGGACCAGCCCCGTATTGCAGCAGTTAAATACTGTACATAGAAAGCCGGATCCCACATGGCTGACCATGGTTTGAGTGTTGGCCATCGTTTTGGAAACACCATTTATTTGCATATATGTTTGCAGGCCCAGGATCCTGATGGGATGGAGAAACGAAAGAAGATTGCATCATGACCTTGCTCTCCTGTGGGGGTGCTCTCTCTCTCTCTGGTAAGTGCATGAGCACTGTGGGCGGAGGGTGGGGGGAGAAATTAAGAAAAAAGAATTTGGCCAGCTCCATGTGGAATTCAGCTCTCACTGTCTCGTCAGCCCCTCTGGGCTTTATAATTC